TTGTCTTTTGAGTTGGGTTTTTGTTTGCCAATAGATCACTGCTCCTAGAAAAGGTTAAATGGTTGAAGCCTTGAAGGTGGGGAACCCTGTATGAAAAGCTTGAATGTAGTTAGTTGATTTGTTTCTTGATTTTTGCAGGGAACATGTGCAAGCGTAATGTGTTTACAACAATTGGATCAGATGAAAAGAATGTGGACATTGATGAGAATCTTGACGACCCATAGTTATGTGCGACCATTTTGTGTGATATGTACAAGTACTTTCTCCCTCCTGAGGTTTGAATAGTTTGTTTGTGTACTGATGAAGTGTAGCCTCATTTTCTTACAACAAGACTTGTTGTCTAGGTCCTTTTATTGGTTAACTATAAATGATTATGCAATTTTCATTGATTAATTTATAAATTTTCCTCCAATTAAGAAAAAACCAACGACTAACTTCATTGAAAAGGTGCAAAAAGGCATAATTGCCAGCATGCGAGCATTTCTCATCGATTGTCATCTATTCTAATTTTTGTTTCATAAACATGTTAGTCTTGTTTCATTTTTTTTTTAATCTTTGGATAATGATGGGGAACACAATATCATTTCTCTTTTGGTGTTCTATTTATGCATTTCTGTGAAAAGCATTCCAACTTATTATATCAACTTGGAATCATAGGTTGCAGAGGAATACATACTTGTTCCCGCCGCATTGTAGTTGGTAGCTATATATAGCTGTTATGTTTCTGCAAATGTATGGATATACAAAGAATTGTAATTGCCTGGTACATAATAGTATAAATGCGTACTTGCAGGAAATATATGGGGATTTGCTTGCCTCAGGTGGAAGAATTCTGCTATATATCTGCTAATACACATTTCAAGGAAGAGATACTTCATTTTTTCTCTTTTTAATTTGCAATTACTATAGTTGTTGTATACATGCAGAGCAGTCATGAAAAGTTCAACATTTTCAAGTTATGTAAATGGAGTCTGACTTATCGAGTTACCTGAAATTTGAAAAGAAAGCACCCACAACTAAATGTTACTTGAGGTAAAAATTTAATTCGTATCCTCCTTATCCCATTTCTCTCAAATTTCAGAATAAATCATTATCTATTTATTGAAACTTGCAATAGAAGGTTTGTTTGTGCCACACCACCATTGAGAAAACTTGAATTTTTTATGATTTTTTTTGGCATTATGTATTGTGACTACCTTTCCAGGCTGGCTCTCCTTTACTGCCATTGGAATGCTTGGCCAACTATATTGCCGAGTTATCACTTCTGGAAAGTCGACAATCTGCGAATGTTGTGTTGGGGGTACAAAAAGGGGAGTTCAAAATTCAATGCTGTTTTTTTTCTTAAAAAAAATAAAAAAATATCCCTTTCTTCTTTTTTTTTTCTCTTTTTAGTTGATATTCTATCATTATTATTTTTTAGGCCTAATTGCTTCAAAAACCATGACCTTTAACTAATATTAAATTCCCAACCTTTTAATGGGATTTCCGAGCTCCTCCTTGCTGATGTGTCCGTCGAGGTGTATAGAAGAATAATAGATTAATTTGTATTTGGTGTATTTATGTTATTGGACATCTCCCCATCTATGTTGATTTGGGTCTTTTTCTTTTTTCATAATTTACTTTCTGTTTCTTTTTCCCAATACTTCTATGTAAATGCTATTGCGGGGTTTTGAGAGGGTATAGATTGGAATTTTGAGATATTGTCATGATGTGGATAGTCTTATTTGAGAAGATAATTTGTCTTGATTTGAAAACTTTGTTGAGGATGTTGGTCATTGAGTTGCAGGTATTGGCAAGGGACTTTTCAAAGGGATTGTATGTGTAGAGTTAGTATTAGCCAATTCAAAATAGAGTTGTATGCCACCCTATTTATGTCTTCAGTTCTTAGATAATCGGGCTTTTGCGACTACTTTGATACCGTGAAGAAGCTCACTCATCTTAATTTTCACCTGCTACATGCCCTTTTTTTGTTGTGTGCCTTTGGTAATTGAATTCAATATTAAGTGTACCTTTTTTAGGATATTTTTCTTCAAGTCTCATTTTTTTAGAAATGTAAATTGAGGCATTTCTTCATTTTCTTAATTTGAAAACAGATCTTCAAACAAACCTTTACCTCTTTGAGGCGCTAATTCTTGGAACACGGAGATGACATCTACTAATGAGGTATGGTGTTTTTTGGTCAAGAAAGAATTTTGTAGTTTATGTGAAAAAACTTCAGTTTTTTTGTTCAAGAAATTATTGAGTTTTTTTTTTTTTTGCTCAAGAAATAGTTTTGTAATTTATGGTAAAAAAACTTCTATTTTCTTGTTGAAGAAAGAGTTTCTTGAACAGAACAAGAAACAGGTTTGTTGTTCAAGAAACCGCTCTAGAAACAGATTTCTTGTTCAAGAAATCTGTTTCTTGTTCATGAAACTGTTTCTTGTTCTAGAAATTATTTTTCTTTGTTAGTTCAAGAAATTGTTTCTGCTTTGTTGTTTCTTGACAGATTTCCAATTTATGTTTTTTTTATATTGATGTGTTTTTAAAAAATTAGAAACTGTTTAAAAAAATAATATTAATTGTTTCATGATTTTTAGGGTGATGGTTGGAGTTGGAGATGGCATAAAGCATGCAATTGGAGTGGTAAAATAAGTTGCCGGACGAAGCCACAAGTAAATTGCCACCGTTACTTTACCAGTTGGGCTATTTTAAGATATTGAGGGCAAAACCTATATCTGCCGCTTTAACAATTAAAATTATGCCAACGGATGAACATAGAGCGCATGCTTGGGGACGTCTTTCCGAAGAATCTAACTGAAGAAGATATCACAAATTACAGAAGAAAATGGTTGTAGCTATTTATGCACATGGGAAGCTTGTTGATTGAGTAATGTGGTTTGTTCACTTGTTGTATGTTGGGATTTGTTGTTTGAAAACTTGGAGGATTGAGTTTTATGGTTGTTGTAGGTTGAATTTGTTGAAAACTTAGTTGATTGAGTATTGTTGTTATTTGTGGGTTGAATTGGATGATATTGGGAACTTGATTGTATGCGACAGAAAGTTTATTGAGGTTGGGAGTTTGAGTATGTTAACAAAGGTTGGTTTTGGAAAAAATTTCTTTTGTTCACTTTGTTTTATAAATTGTTGTTGTGTTGATTTTTTTTAATGATTTAAAAGAAAAACTTTCTGGAATAAATTGTTGTTCCAGAAATCATTTCTGAAATATAATAAAATATTCTTGAATTTCAGAAAATATAATTTTTGGAATGAAGGTTGTCTTACATAATTCCCGTCTGTATTTTTTCTGGAATTATGTAATCTCGATGGAGTGGTCCTTATATTATCGATAGAATGCTATCTAATGGAGCCATCCGACTTTGCAATCCCGCGAATGGTGATCTATTTGTTGTATACGGACTTCAGTCAGGTTTGTTTTGGCCAACTACTTTTAAAGATGCCTATGATTTTTGTCGTTGTTGTGACCAATGCGAAAGAGCCTTGTGCCCAGCATGAAGGTCCTCTATAATTCTCGGCTCCGTCTTTTTCCAAGAAAGCTCAAATCTCGATGGAGTGTTCCTTATGTTATCGATGCGGTGTTCTCGAGCTCCCGGCACTAAACCGTGCATTCTTGTACTGCTGTAAATAAATAAAAAATAATAAAGAAATAAAGAAATAAAACAGGCCATAAAAAGAATAAATAATAAATAAATAAACTATTTCTTGTGGTCATGACTCCAAAAGACGGCTCAAGAAACGGTCCATTTTCTTGAACTCCAAAAAAAATATACGAGTTCAACGAAATAAAATGGTTCTAGAAAAAGCAATAATTTTGGGAGCTCATACATGGTTTTTAGAACAAAAATAAATGTTTTCAGGAATGGGGTTAATGGCAATGTTCTGAAAACCGGACCGGTCATCTAACCGGTGAAGTTACCGGTTTAATGGTTCACTGGTCGGACCAGTGGTCGAACCGGTCTAATTAACATATAATTTTATATTTATTTTATATGTATAATATATAATTATATATATATTTTATCATTAATTTTATAGTGTATAGTTCAATAATAGATACAACCGACAATATTGAATAATGTTGATAACTTATTTTAGTTTATTTTCTTATATTTTAATTATATTTAAGTTAAAAAATTAAAGAATATGTTTTTATTCAATTTTTAAATAAGAATTTGAAAGAAAATCATTCATTGAAATTGGAGTTAATCCCTTATCACATGTCCCATAATTTTCAAAAATAAAACTACAATCTAAAATATATTAAAATAATATGAACAATTTAAAATGCAATCTAAAATCACGATTTTTTTTTATTTTTTTTTTTCCAATCATTGGGCATTTGATTTAAAACAATTTTGCGCTTCAAACTACATTTAGAGGCCCAAGTCCAAATTCAAAAACAAAGAAAGGTGAATTTGATAATTTATAGGCCCAACTCCCAAGCCCAATATATATAAAGACAAAAGGAGCAAATTCTAAGGTAGACTAGTTGGTAGAAATCTCACATTGGAAAAAGAAAGAAGACAATGCTACTTAATTGATAGCTTTTGTAACCAAATGCAAGTAAGCAACTGTCCCTAGCCAACCGTTGGGCCGCCCAACCCGGCACCGGTTTTTTGGTTTTACCGATTTTTAACTGGTTTAGGCGGTTCATGACCGGTTTAAGCCATTCGCGGTTCCACAACTCAACCCGGACCGGTGAGCTGGCCGGTTCCCGGTCGAACCGGCCGGTCCGGTCCGGTTTTCAGAACATTGGTTAATGGAGATGAAGGAATGGAGGACCGATGGAGGAGTGAGAATTTTTTTTTTTTTTTTTTCTTTTTGGTAGTTAAAACATAATAAGGATAAATATTGGCTTTTTACCCCATAAAATGACTATTTTTCATTCTATTTACAAAGATGGCTATTTTACATTTTTCACTTCAAAAAGTGCCATAAAACTGGGACACTGTTAAAAAATATCTCAAAGTTATTTATGTCAACAAATCAATTAAACAATATCTCAAAGTTATTTATGTCAAAAACAAAATCAATTAGACAATATGAATAATATTAATGCTATAGGTACATAATAATGTACATAAAAGTGTACATAACACTCACATTGAGTTGGTCTTACAAAAAATAAAAAATTAAGTGGACTCCACTCCATGTGAGTGTTATGCATACCTCTATGTACATTTATTATGTATTTGTAGTACTTTTCATATTTCTAAAGCATTTCTAGATTTTCCCAAACAAAAAATCTAGCTTGTAATTACTTATTTAAATGAGAAAGGCTACATTGTCAACCTAGTGTACAACTAGGTTGACAACACAAGCGGAAACATATATTTGTGTATTTTTTTATTTTTATTTTTGTGGATGTTTTTTACTTGTGTTGTCAACCTAATATTTTTTACTTGTGTTGTCAACCTAATTATTTTTATTTTTTCTATTTAAATAAATCATATCCAAAATAGTAAAAAAGTTTTTTTGGCAGGAAACAATTATTATTATAAAAATAATCAAACATTTTTATATATATAATATAAAATAGATTATATGCAAAACTTTAAGTTATCAAATTTTATAATTAAATTGAATAAAATAAAAAATGTGCACGTAGCTTTCCTGTTAGGTGTTAAAATCTGGCTACGGCCCTCTGGTTTTCATTTTCATAGTTAGTTTGGTGTTTCGGGTGTTGCCCATTTGCTTCTGTTATTGTTTTTGAACATTGTACTGCTTTGCTTTGTTTTATTGGAGTTGATCTATCGTTTGAGAAAAAAAAAAAATCTTGACTAACTTAATGACCGTCTGCCCGAACTGCCAATGCTAACCAAAAATTGATACTGCCAATGCTAAATAGTGCCTAGACGCATAGCATTGATCGCAAAATGTTGATAACTTACATCAATGTGAAAAGTCGTTTTGAAGACAAAACGAAAGGCCCCAACACAGTATAGTTTTCAAAACATGGAATTTTCATACCAACACCAGAAAATCGAAACAATTGTCAAAATGCATAAGCGGGAATACAACCATGTACGCTCTCTGAATCGTGGAGATGATGGTATTTGCACTTCTTGAACGACAGTTTCACTTGTATCCAAACAAGCCAGTAGCATGAAAATAAAATCAATAACCAAGGTAAAATGACTACAAACAACAAAATTTTACCTAATAGGCTAATCCCTTTCCATTTCCAATAATTTCGAGATGTGGTGTTTGTCATCTGTAAATGTTACTTCATAGATATCTTCAAGATGTCAAGAAAGATCACACTTTATAAGAGAGGCATGAGAGTGCCAAAATCTAGAAGAGAGGCAGCCTATATAGAACAGGGACACAATTGCAAAGATTTAGAGACATGAGAGTGCCAAAATCTAGAAGAGAGGCAGCCTATATAAATGAGTTGACATAATTAATGAGCGGTAAAGTGTGACTATATTATGCATTATACCAACCATGTCAACTAACGAGTCAAAATGACAAGAATATACGAAAGATAAGATAAATTTGAGATAGGTGCGCATCTTGCTTAGGAATTTTGTTTATCAGCCTGCAACCTGATACAATCTGCACAAAATAAATTTTGATGGTAGTTTTTGGCGACTCTAGAGTTTTTTTGACCCGCTTGTATAATACAAGGAAGGACTTTCGAAGAGATCATGAAATGTAGATGACAGCATCAATCTGTTGTATCAGGATTCTCTTCTACCTCAGATCCTGGTAAAAAAAAGTTTGAAGAAACTCATGGTATATATTTCCAGCAGATCTTTTACTTCCCAGAATAGAGCAATTAAAACACCAACAAATAGAAGAAAAAGAAAGTATACTGATATTATAGAGCACGCAACTTGTAAAATAAACCAATTACAAGGCAGATACAAGCTGGAGTGTTCATTATCAGGGACAAAATTCTAACTCTTCCCCAAGTATCAATCCCCTATGGCCATGTTATATTTGGAGGAATAAACGAAAATGAGTTCCACTTTAGATTTCTGATCTGTTCTCGCTTCTTTCCTCCTAGCAACTTCTTTTTCACCCATTCTATGTTCCAACATTTCGTTCTAATATTGCAGTTAAACCTTTCTGCCACTTGGCATTCATATTCTCCTTATTACGAATCTGGCCAGAAAAACATCACCAGTTTCACGGTCTCATCCCATTTTCCCTAGTCTAGCATAAAACATCAGATCATGCTAGTAATTTTGAACACAGTCCCATCTTCATTTTGCATAGTGAATGGATTGTGAGATTGTTATGGTGTTCCACCTTCTACAGAATAAGTTTCCAAATTCGAATGAGACCAAATCTTAACCCCCTCACTTTGGACAACTCAACAGCATATTTTAACTAATACTTTTCTCAACTATTCAGCCAGAGCTACTAGTTCATTTGAGAACATAACTAAATTTGTACAAGAATGTTTAGCAAACGTTAAGTACATCTTAATCCACCTCTCCTAAGGGACTTTAGAATCAATCACAGAATTAGAAATTCCTAGCAATAATTTTTTTCCCCGTATGCAAGACTATCTTCTATATTTCTAATATATATTGAGGCATTCGAAACAGTCTAAATAGAGTAAAATAACCAAGAAGCAGAGTGAACAAAACAGATAAAAACAGCAACCCGCATAAAATCAAATAAGTTCCACATATCCAAATTCATAATATAATTCCAGAAAGCGAGAAAAAAAAAAAAGAAAGAACAAATATCGAACCTTCATCAGCATCCTCCCATTCTTCCAGCTCATACTCTTCTTCATCATCCTCGCTGAAATCCCCATACCTCTCGTTCAAGAACTCGACGGCCCCTTTTGTGAGAACCAAAGTCTGTGAGTCCAAAATATCGAACAAGTTGAGTGTCCTGGGCGTCAGCATTTTCAGAGTCCCGACATTCCTGCTCGACAGCCTCACATTATCCGAGAGCTCGGTCAACAGGAACATCGATTTCTTCTTCGGGTCCAGCCCCAGCCTTCTCAACATGGCTATGAACTCCTTGGTCTTTGGCTTCTCGAACTTGTCCTCAAAATCCTCGACAACAATGGTGTTCTCAGATGCACTAGCGATGGCAGTGGAGATGGCAAGCCTCTTTTCCTTCTTGTTTATCTTGACGGACCAGTCCTTGGGCTTCGGCCCGAAGATGACGCCGCCTCCACGGCGGAGAGGGGTCCGCTGCGACCCGCGCCGGGCATTGCCTGTCTTCTTCTGACCGTAGGGTTTCCGACCCCCGCCGCGGACCTCGGCGCGGGTGAGGGTGGAGGCGGTGCCGCGGCGGTTGTTGGTGAGGTCGGTGGTGATGCCGCGGTGGACGACGGCGCGAGCGGTATCAGAGGGGGCGGACTTGAGGTTGAGGGCGGCGGTGCCGACCTGGGTCCCGTCGAAGGAGAGGACGGGGAGGGTGGCCAGTTCGCAGCGGATAGTGGTGGCGGAGGAAACCCGCAATCTGAGATTGGATTTGGGTTTGAGGAAATTGAGGTCGGTGCGAGAATGGTTGGGGTTGGAGAGGAAAATTGAGGAGGAAAGAAAGGAGATTGACGAGAGAGATGCTGTGGCTGCCATTGTCGACGGGGGAAGGAGTAGCAGACTACAGACTGAGATGTTATCCAATTTTATCAGTTCTCCACAAGTTTTTCCGTTTTTATATACATCTTCAGCCTATATTTTGAGGGTAGTGATTTAAAATAATTTACTTGGTTTGAGGAATTTTGTTGGAGCGGAGTAGTGGTGGCCATTTGTCGGGCCGGTTCACAACCCGACCCGGCCCGGCAGGTCGTTGAGCCTCAAATATGGGTTCAGAATTGGCCCAGATATATGTAAGGGTCAGTTCAAAACCGGCCCGACTCAGCGGTTCATTGAACTGCAGGTTCTTCCTCAGTTTAAGGTTGATTTTGGCGGGTCCCGAGATTTTTTATTTTATTGTATTTTTAATTATGAAAGGATTTTTTTTGGATGGAAAAAATAAAAGAATCTAACATTAAAATATCATAAGTGGATAATAGTCAATTTGACACTTAATACTTGTAAGCCGGGACTGCTGATTACTCTTTCCCCAGTTGAGCTTGAACAAGTGTTGGTCCCATTTTTGTTACGTTTTTCGTATTTGTTTTACTTTTCTTTTTCCCCCATATTAGGTCTATTCCTTAGTTTTTAGGTTATTTTATAGTTTATTGTGTGTTTTTTTTTATTTTGGTTTTTCTTGTGTTTTCCGTGTGTTTTTTTCGGTTTTTTTTTGTTTATGGTGTGTAGGTCGGAAGCCTTGAGAGGACCGGATTTCAGGCAAAAATTAGTCGGGAAAGCGTAATTACGTAGAGGAGTTTGTTTGCAACGCATAGAAAAAAATGGAATCGAATTCCGATACCAGACGAGCCCGAACGACTCCAAAATGTGATNCATCCCTCGCGCCCCTACGCACCATCACGCCGCGAAGCCCCGCGCCCAGGACAGTATCTCCCGCGCCGTTGCACTGCCCCGCGCCGCGGTGCTTGCACTCTCCGCGCCGCAGAAGTCCCTCCGCACCGTGCCGCTCGAGCTCCCCACGCTGTACCTAAAAATCTTGTGCCGTGTCACCCTGCCACCTATAAATATGAAATCGAGACTTCGCACAGATTATTCCCCCTCCTGGGGACGCGAACCCTAGCGAGAAAACACGACAAAAATTCCTTTCTCTTTCCCTTCTTTTTCTTCTTTTCGTTTCTTCTTCTCTTAATCTTTTTGTTCCATTTTTCTTCTTCTTTTTATTACTATCAAAGATTAAGCTCTGTATTTTTGGGATTCAACACTTGAATTTGGGATTGATTGTAAGAACTTCTTTCTCTTTTGGTTAATTCATGAAAATGGTTGATTTGATGAGAATGATTAATTGAGTTGAATTGAATTTACGTAGTTAAATCCTTCTGCTAGGGATAGGGATGATTGTTCTTGTTTAACGTGCATTTGTCGAGCTCGATTTGTTCATGCTTTTGTGAGTTGAATTGATTAGGAATTGATGAAATTGTGCTTGATAGTTTGATGTAATCGAAGGGTGACACTTCGATCTTGCAATTGGTAACAATTGGATATTGAGTTGTCGAGTTTAGTTTTGTGGATTCTCGATGATTAGTTGATTAAACACCTTCTAATTGAATTAGCGGCTTTTAAAATTGAAAGGGGAGAAGTCGTAGACCTAGGCTCGCGTGAGATAGTTGATTTCGTAACTGAATAGTCTATAGGTTTTGGATTGAAATACGTACTTGTCGATGACCGTCTCTTGTTACGAAAAGTTATTGGGACTGGGATAATTGACATGTGTTGTATGCTCGAGCTAACTCATCTATGTTCAATCCCTTGTTACGAAGAGTTATTGGGAGCGAACCACTAGATGTTTAAGCGAGAGTGTCAATCTAGAACCGAACAATTGATTGCCCGGCTTTGCTAGAACTTGAATTAATTATCCCCGACTCCCTAGCTTCTCCATCTTTGTTTCGTTCACATTTTTAGGTAGAGTATTGCTTTTTATTATTTCTTGGTTAGTAATTATTCAAAACTCCTATCTAATTAGAGTGTTTAGGATTTTGTTTTCTTTTTATGTGTTATCATTACCAAAGCTAAATTCCGAACCGCCTTCCTCGAGAGATCGACCCGGGAAACGAATCCTTCGATTCGGTACTCGGTAAAAACAACAATTTGTGCTACAACAACAAGCGAAAGGGCGGTCAACAATTCGGGCTTCCAAGAATTAAGTGTCTAAATGCCTATTATCATGTCTAAGAACTATAACAATTAAGTGGATGCAGTTCAGAGAGCATGAATTTAACATGATAAGATATGTTTAGAATTATACTACTCATTTACATCTGACCCGCAGTTGCTGGAGTTGTTCATAATTGAAAACTAAAAATTAGCAATGAAACGGATATAACAATTGTTCACTATTTGCAACAAACTAATCATGAGCTTGAAAAGCATGTGCCCAATATTCGGGAGAATCGTCCCAGAATGGTCCGCTACGCCAGACACGACTCCATCACCGCTGTTTTGTTTTTGCGTGCAACACGACAGGAACAATCATTCTGCTTTCCGGATCCTCGTCATCGATTTTCGCTCCAATACATTTCAGAAGTTCACCATCAAATCAAAGCAGTAACATCAATTACGTCAATGATGCCACAGTCACGGTCTCCATTATGTATCATGCTTCCAACCCTCTTATACGTCTATAATAGAGCAATAAAGAGAGAGTATACAAAGACTAACATCAACAACTTCAAGTACTGAAGAATCAGTATGTCAATATGTGTGAGCGTTCTCTTGGATTAAATTAGGATTGAGTGACTTAATTTGTAAGACGACCCTGGAATCAACTGCACTGAACATCTATTGGATTAGACTTTCATTCCACCGCCTTTCATCTTCTGTCGTGAGGTGTTTCACCCAAATTAGATCCGCTCTTGCTTGTCCCAAAACTCTAAGCCTCTTATGGTTAAGATTGGTCACCCATCTAGTGTTAGTGTTATATACTAAAAGCTTGGCTTTGCATGTTATTACACATTTACCCTTTATGAATGAGAATCATGTTAGATTAAACAAGTTCTACGTTCTGTTGTTCTGCACTTAGATAGGGTGGGTCGTCATCGGGCGAACCGAAGATCACTATATCAGTCACTTGCGAACAAGAATAGTTATTCACAACCTAGATGGACATGAACACCCCATCCGAACGGTTGTACTGTCAACTGTACAGTTTGTCTTGACTGATTAGTTGCACTGGTACATTTATGTATTGAACAGGATCCCAGAGAGGAGAAGTTCATTTTATACTGATCGTCGTAAATGTACTAGGCCTCGGTTAATTACTGCGTTCTCTTAACCCGTAAGATATTAAACAAGCAGATATATATAATATATATTACTTTGATTCACATGGGTGAGGTTCAGTTCGCTGGATTAATATTCTTACTGTTTTGGGTAATATTATTATATATAGGATGTGCTGTTAGGATATTTACGGTCACCATGTGCGTTAGTTTGATGATGTCCCCGGAGTGAGTTCATGAGGGATTGTTATGCTAAACCCTGCAGGTGGATTAAGTTCCGACATAATAAGAATGTGATGGACGAGCGCTAGCTTCGGTGATATAATAATAAATTAATTTATTCTTGATTGTCAGTAATCGAATTAATTAATGGACATTATATCTTAAACGTGGGGAGGTAAATCGAGTAATTATTATTTAAGTCTCAAATGTAATTTGGGCTAGGAAAAGGGAGTGCAATAATATAATATTTGTGGCCCATTAATATTATTTAATTAATTAGAGGAGTGGGCTTAGCCCACAGTTAGTCTAATTAATTAAGGAGCCCTTTTCCTAATCTCCTAAGGGTCTCTACTCTAGCTCTATATATACATCATTAAGCTCATGAGAAGAGAATCCCAATCTCATTCTAACAAGACACGCCCCATGCTTCTCTCTCTCTCTCTAGATCTCATTCGAGCTTTATTTTCTTCTTGTTGCTCCACTGGTACAAGTAGAAGAAGGGTGTATTGAGTAATACAGTAGAAGATCTGTAGGTAAACCGAGACGAAATATATTTTGACCTACAGAACTAACCGGAAGTCAAATTGAGACGTACAGCATACTTAGACGACCGTCTCGACGAGAGCTTTCCATCGCCACCAAGATCGCAGCCGTCTGACGCCTCACGCGCCGTCACATGCCGCCGAAAGCTTCCAGGCTGCAAAGTTTCGTTTTGATCTGTTTGCATCCGTTTGATCCGATTTTGATCTGATCTTGTTCGTGCAACCCAAGACGTGATTTGCGGTCAATAAATTTCGGTCAACCATTCGTGGTCAACCAGATCTACATAAATTTTAAGCCGTAAGTTATCTACGTCAAACCTTTAGATCCGCTGCGCATAGGTTTACGTTTGCTCTTGAATTCGTGACTCGTACATAACGAGATCCTCACAGATCCCAACAAGTGGTATCAGAGCACTTGGTTAATTCGTTTTGTACAAAGTTCGAATTTTTACGGCTTTATTTGATAAGATGTGCTCAAACGTAGCCATATATTGGATTATATTTGCATAACTCGGTTTTGCAGGATAAATAGTTAATCCACTATTATGGCTGACTATGTGTTTGATGAATGTTGTTGGATGTGATGTATGGTTTTAAATTTGTTTTTAAAGCCTCAGACATGTCGAGGAATTTATGGATGAATGTTTGTAATAATTATTCGCCCGGGGGTTGACCGGATAGATTTAATTATTTGTTTAGAAAACATGTACATCCATTCGTTGGATCTAGGATCGAATTATGTAATTTTGTAAATTATATTTTTCGTGTTGTGATCGTGTGTTGATGACCGGGAGATCACAAGAAGATCAACGAGCCTCGAAAAAAAAAATATTAGCTTTTTCCGGCGAACTGGCAGGCGGCGACCGGTGGCCGGCGGCGGCGGACTGGTGGCGGCAGTTGGTGGTTCGTTTTTGCCTTGATGATCAAGCAGTACAAGATCAACTAGGATTCTACTGCTTAAAGGAGTTCCAGTTGAACAGGGAAAGAATTGTCACAATTTCCTTGTTTAAGGAGACTCAATATTTAATGGCCATAATAGTGAATTTATTTATTTATTTAATTAAATTTATTATGCCATTAAATTATTATTTATGCATGTTAATTAATTAT